ATGTATAACTGTATGAGATTATAGTTTTAACAGTTAACTGTAAAGTTTAACTATCATATTAGCTTTAATTATTTAGTGATAATCGTGGTATCAAAAGTGATACTATTTATAGTTCATTAGATTTAAACTTGTCAAATCTTAAACAAACTCTCAATCAGTCATGACTTTATGATTTAATGTGAGATTTCAGTCATTACTTTGTTAATTATAATTTAAAGAATTTGAATCATAAATCAAATTGTCTGAACTTGTGATACAATGTTACTTTCAATGTAATTTTCACTGTGATACTGTAGTTTATTTCTATTACTGAATTATAAACTTAAATTATAGAAATATTTATTTTTAACTCATTGAATGAATTATAATAATATTTTATGTATGAAAATATTCTTTTGATTTTAAACTCAAAGTAAGAATAATTAGAAATAATATTTAGTCTTTGCTCTAATTATTTCGAAATAAACACTCAAAACAAAGTCTATTAATGTGTGTTTGAGTGAAAGCCTTTAAAAAGGTATGAAATTATTTATGTTTTTTAAATATTAAACTCTTTTATATAGCATTTAAGTGTGAATGAGATCATTGTTATACTTATTTATTATGAAACTCAATATTAATATAACTTTAAAAATGTGTTTTAGTTATAATTTTAAGGCTTAAATATTTTTAATTTCGAAACAAACTTCAACTTTGTTTCAAATAAGAGTTATCAACAAAAAAATTAATGACATTTAGCTTTAATCTATGGTTTACTGTCATATGTTTATGTAATAGTCTACATTAATGTCTAGAATGTTATTCACCCGTTAATGAATAGTGTATTTAAAATAATTTTTATAAAAAACGCGATTTATTTATATTGCGAATGACTTTAAATTAGATTAGATATAAAAGTTTAAGCAGTTTTCTAAAAAATTATATTTGTTTTTGTTATTAATCTTGTTATTAAAAAATTCTTAATTCAATATAATTTCTTTTCTTTGTTTTAAAATTTCTTATCAAAAACTTTTCTACGAATTGTTACTTAAATTTTTCGTATTAATTGTTTTTGACTTATTATGTATTTCAAACTCATTTATAATTTATTGAACGAATAGATAACTTTCCGGACTTTAGTTTCCTATGAAATTTACAATTTTTTAAATTAAAATAAATTCCAAACATTGTATTAAATGAATACGAATTAAAATAAATAATTGTCTTTAGATAAAACAAAACATTATCGAAAAGTTTGGTTTCGTATTAAATAAATCAAACGAAGTCTGAACAGTATTAATGGAAATGCATGAATGCTAATGAAGTTTATTTATTACGGTATAATGAAAGTATACTATACAGCTCTGTACTACCTGTGCAATACTTGTTTAAATTAATTCATTTTATATAACAAATCTTGTATAATTGAAAGTTCAACTGAAAGCCCAATATTTGCCTTTATTTTGCTATTGAAATCACTATTGGTTTACGCATCGCTAGTCTAACTGTAATTAGTTTGACTCAAACTTTCTTTTGTGTCAAATATATTAGAATTTCTAATTTAGAAAGAGTTTTGTATAAAATGTATAGCTTTAAAGAATTTCACAATTAAATGCAAGTTTTCTAAAGAGTCCAATAAATGGCAAAATTAATATTCATGAAACGTATTTCTCACTTCCTATCAGTCAATAGGAGTCAAATACAAGTCAATTAGTAAACTATTATTTTATTAAATATCAATTCTTTCACATGAAATGAGGCAAAAATTGTGTTCAGTTTATCATATTTCCAATCATTAGCTTAACTTTTAAGGCTTAAAGAGTCTATGATTTACTTCTTTAGTCATTATAAGAACCAAAACTCTAATTATAATTATAATATAATATGTTTAATAATATATTATGTTTATATTATTTATGAAATCAATTAAAAGTGTTATTTTTTGTGAATAAATTATAGAAAATAAAGAAAAACACTTTTTAAACCTAATTCACAGACAAATGTTTTCACACAAATTGTGGATATATTTTGCTATTGAAATCACTATTGGTTTACGCATCGCTAGTCTAACTGTAATTAGTTTGACTCAAACTTTCTTTTGTGTCAAATATATTAGAATTTCTAATTTAGAAAGAGTTTTGTATAAAATGTATAGTTTTAAAGAATTTCACAATTAAATGCAAGTTTTCCAAAGAGTCCAATAAATGGCAAAATTAATATTCATGAAACGTATTTCTCACTTCCTATCAGTCAATAGGAGTCAAATACCAGTCAATTAGTAAACTATTATTTTATTAAATATGAATTCTTTCACATGAAATGAGGCAACAAATTGTGTTCAGTTTATCATATTTCCAATCATTAGCTTAACTTTTAAGGCTTAAAGAGTCAATGATTTACTTCTTTAGTCATTATAAGAACCAAAACTCTAATTATAATTAATACAAATATAATAAATACTTTAGTTAATTTTCACAATAAAAAACACTTATTTAATATCTTTTATTTCTTTTTGTGAAAAATTTGGATTAAGTGTCTGTTTACAAAAGTGTGTTTAACACCTATATATTAAATAAAGCCCATAATGTGGTGTAATTTCGCTGCAATTTATATTTTGTTTGTTTTTGAAATTTAATGAAATCATTGTCTTATATATATATAATAATCCTAATGGCAATGAACAGCAATTAACACAAAAACCAGACTAATTTTAATTTCATTTAATTTTAACCGCTTTTTTGTATTGATTTATACGAAACCAATAGTTTTAAAAAACAAAACAAAAAATTTAATAATTTTTGCGATGAAATAGTTTTATCATTTCAAACGAATTACATGCTATGCTATGCACCGCTTATTTACATGAATTAAAATTAATAATAATAACGACAATACCTATCAAACAAAATAATTAATCCTTTAAAAAATGTAGGTTCAGGTAAGGAAATACATGCTGTCTTAACGACAAATAATAAATACATTGATATGTGTTTTATTCTTATGATTAGACCGTATTTTCGTAGTCTATGTATTGTATTTCAGAAACAAAAAAAATGTTTTCTATAACCAAATCTCAGTCACTAAAGTCTTTTGAAAAATTTATTTTTAATATAAAAAGACACAATAGCGTGTACACAAAACAGAATCAAAAAGAGAGGCAAAAAGAATACCAAGTGTCTAAAGATGTGGTTTATTACAACTGAGGTTAACTGGTTTGTCTTAAGAGTGGAGTTCTCTCAAGACTTTCATATCATTCACAGTCAAGTGATAGTTGGCTGTCATTAGGTTATTGAGTCAGTCCTGTGTTTGTATTTGTCTTTCCATGAGTTAAATCTGAGGGAAAAGTTGTTCAACAAATCTTTTTTATGTTTTAATAGTCTGTTCTCTTACATGATTTCATCGATACTTTTAATAATTAGTTTTCTCATATAAAAAGATAAAACTTATTTAAAGATTGTTCACAATCGCTATCAGTCAATAAAACTAATAAAACGGATATCATTTGTTAGATTGAATTTTTATAAACTTTTATTCTGTATTAAAATGAGTTAATCCGCAAAATTTGTTAATTAATTAAAATGAAATGGAAATTAATTGGTGTCTTCATATCCAATGCGCTGAACATATGTGCGATCTGTTGCTGGCCATTCGCACCGCCACCCCCACCACCTCTGCCACCATTGCACCTCTTTGAAGACCATTACGTACGGGTCAGTCATGGACCTCACTTTGACAGAGGCCTCACGCATATGGCGAGGGTAAACAGCCCGCGGGTGGTCTGTGAAGTTCTAGGGTACTTACCAGTTGTGGAGCTTCCTTACAAGGATGGATACTCAGGCCGGTACCGAATGCGGCTTGGAGTCCTGTCCCACAAACTTCTGTGTTATGATTTGGGAACCACTCAAGAGTTTTCCCAATACATACCAAACGACAAACCTATGATGAAAGTCCGACACATGAACTACAGGTATAGGAAGCGCTTGAAGAGTCAGCGACCCATTGAGTCGAACGGCAATTCTGTGACACATCCGAGGAAAGACATCAAATGGAGTCAAGAGACGAGTGCCGGACATAATGGACAACAGCCCCGAAGATATAATGTGATTGACAACAGATATCACAACAAACAGAATATTCCGAATTCAGTGAACGACAAATTGCCGCGAATTCCGGGGAAAGTGGTTCACGAAGGAGAGAGTCTTAACCGACAGAATTACAGCCAAAATAAGAGTATTGAAGCGAATGATAATAATATAAGTAGTGATAAGACTGTTAAGGATTTGTATGAAAATAGTTCCCAAACCCGAGAGAAAACAAATTCAATTCGACATAACGTTCCCAACATTCCCATTGAGATTACCAGTTATGATACGAAGTCACCGGACGGTGTCGTCACTCAAGTCACGGAAATGCTGTACGACATCGAGAATAATCCATTCAAAGGGCCCACAACCACACCAATCATATCCCCATTCTTACCGCCAGCGGCTACACCACCGCTAATACCCGTTACATCTAATCCGCGTCTCAACAATCAAATACCTTATCATATGAATAGCGGTTATTCTGAGATCAGGGAAACCAGTTCTTCACAACCTATACAACCCATCAATACTGCGGTCACCGCCCGATTCAATGGCATGACAATGACTCCATCGATGTCGTGGACGAGTCAGAAGAACACATTAGATCCCGTGCCCATTGTATGGACCAACGAACCGACTGCACCGCCGCCAACGCCTCGTCCCATACCTTCGTCCTCGTCGTCAGAATATCACACGAGAAGAGCCCGAAAAAGGACAACCACTCAAAAACCACAGACTACTGTTAAGAGTAGTGCCCGAGAGGGTCAGCCCGGCCTGAGTAGTGCTGCCATTGCGGGCATTGTTATCGGATCTATGGTCTCAATAGTGCTTTTGGCGGGTATTTAATCAAATGCAATGAATTGATTAATCAGTTGACTCACAACACAATTGCTGTCTTTCAGGCACTTCTCTGTTCGTAATGTATAGAAATCCGTTCCGAAGAACATTAGGTCCGCTATCGAGCAGTGGTTCTCCGCCACCACCAGTGCCTCCGCCAACTCTACCACCAAATGACTCCAATACCATCCCGTCTCGCGTGAGTTATTCACGAGATTTTCATTTCTAGCGATTAAATAGACAGAGAAAATGTGTTTTAAATGCAATTAATGTAATGAATAGGATTTGCAAAGACAGTACTTAATACAAGCAAATGTTTTGCAGTATATTTTTCTCTCTAATTAACGAACCGTTAAATTAAATCCAAGAAATTTCTAAACTTTTTTTTCGGTGCACTTATTATTAGGAAAATCTCTTTTTATTTGTTAAGTCTCTGTTCATTCAAATTATATGTTTTATTCTAATAATAATAATATAAGTAATAGTTTTGAAAATCTAACAAAAATAATAAGAGAGAAAAACTTTTGCATTCAATTTTCTCATCGAGTATTTAGAGAACCGTTTCTTTTATGTTTATTATGCTTTTGATAATAACTACATTTCCATAACTTTCATAATTAAGTCATTACTCCCTGTGACTGACAATCAGGTCCATCGGTGGCACCCCAGAAGACACAGGAGATCATAGAGTAGTGTCTCATTTGGATGGCATTCTCCACGCATTTTCAATAGTAATCCGTTTCGCATTCAACTCAATACAGATATGAAACGCTTGACTAATAATGAGTTTAATTATAATTATAATATGAAATGTTTTTCTCGTTTAGGAATCAAATTCCTTAATAATAATTATATGTGTTTTATAGGAGAGACAACTTGTATTAAATTCGTAAATTGTTGTAATTATTATACAAAATTTATCCTTAAGTAAATTAATATGTATTAAACCTGATTTTAAATACAAAAAGTTATTTTAGAGTAATGTGAACTTTAATGCCAAGTTTATAATTTGTTCATTTTTTATTGCAATTGTTTTTAAGGATATTTCCATTGAGTTCTGGTATCGAAAAGATTATACAAAAACTATAAGAAATTCTTATAAGAAAAAATTGTTTTCAATTGTATTGAAAACAACCTAAAACTCAGACAATCAGACAATAGGTTTGTTTATAACTTTTAGGCAACTTTTGTCAAATCAGCCAAATATTGGACTCGCGCGGGATGTGTGTCCGCCGGTCGGTTAATGGGTGTCCAAACGGGTTCGCCCACAAACAGACGGATCACTTTTATGTAGTTCTTTGCCGTCCGAAGTAAATATAAACAACAAATGATTAGTTTTACGAAAAGTCCAGACTCTGGTCACATTATTTACGTATGTAACAACAGCTCTCACTTAGCTACCATTTATGGCCGGCCTTCATAGTTATCCAGAGGGAAAAGCTGGTCTTAAGCCTAGGTGAACAGGACTAATAGCGCCTGTAGCTTTATGGGGGAACCGTTCAGCACGAACCGGATCTCTTCGTCCGAATGGATGTGTTCCGTGAAGAATGACTTTATTTTCTCCAAATAGTTGTCCAGCTTTTCGGGGCAACACTCCAGTGAGTCCGAGTAGGTGTAGCCCCTCTCGGCCCGGATTGTCGCCAACTTTCCCTCCGCCTCGTAGTCGTCGGCATNCGTGAAGAATGACTTTATTTTCTCCAAATAGTTGTCCAGCTTTTCGGGGCAACACTCCAGTGAGTCCGAGTAGGTGTAGCCCCTCTCGGCCCGGATTGTCGCCAACTTTCCCTCCGCCTCGTAGTCGTCGGCATCGATCTGACCATTCATTCAACACATTTGAGTCCAAGAGTTTGTTTAGACAATAGTTGGTCACATCATATATCGTCTCATATTTACCGCATAATACAAAACTCCGCTCTTTTCGCTCAACTCATCCAATGATACGAATCGTTGAGGACTTAAATGTCGTTCACTTCTCTGGTCCTCCGAGTCGTTGTCATTCATATACCACGCCTTCACCATATCTTCGCCTACGAGTAGTTCCAATAGGTTTTGACTAACAATTACTAAAATCTATAAAGAACCAAGTACAGTACCGGATATGAGCACAATTTTATTTTACACTTAATATACACTCAGTTTCTTATCGAAAATGTGTACTTTTTATGCACAAAAAGTTATTTTTAATAATAAATTGTGAGATTAATTTGTCATTGAATTATATATACAGAAAGTGCTCTCAATTTAATAAGTTTTCAAATTCATAAGTGGAGATTAGGGTGGAATGTCCTTGCTAATGCCATAATAATGTCACTATTTATTAAGGTCGCACTGTATAGACAGTAGTACAGTTATATTTAATTGATGTACAGTTGGTATACAATAACCTGTGGACACATTAGTGCTCTACCAATGCAAACCTTCAACACATCTAAAAACTGCATTAACACTGCATTTCTCACACGTTAATCGTCTCTCATATGACAGATAATGTTCATTGTATTCAATTCACTTGAAATCACATGAATATTGGACTCTTTACGCACTTTTAAACCCTATTTCATAATCTGTTGCCACAACTACTGATAAGATCTAATCTGTGCCAAAGTGGACCACCCATTACAGGTAGACTACAGGTGCTCAATGCCCTGCGGCTAGTCTATCAAGTCGTCAACAATTTGGCCGCAGATAATGTACAGATGGTATAAAGTAGTCTAAAACCTAAACTTAAAATAGCCAGGATTAGTTTAGTTGAGTGTAAGCGAGTTCATTATAAGCGAGAGTCAAATGAATGAATGAAAAAAAGTTTGAAAACTCAGTGAAAGGCGGTTAACATCTCTACCAAACAGACAACAAAAGTCACGTTTTTTGTGTCATTTTGAGTGCAACCGTTCACTCAATCAGTGATTTGATTGCATTTAACCATCACTTGAACTGATCCGGCAATGAGTGCCCCATTGAGTCGATGACATCGATGACAATGAAGCGTCTGAACAGTGAACAAATCAATTCATTTGTTCACAATTTCCTGAAACGCCGTAATTATAGCGTAAGTCACGGCCTGTTGAGCCGCACGTGAAGAGCCGGTCCATCGGTGGTGTCATTGATTTGTTTGGCCGTCCCTTAGGATCACAATACGAGCCGTCACCACAAGAAGCCGCCGAATATCAACAACTCTCGCGCCATGAAGTCGATGGACACGAAGGCGAAGGAGAGCTTAGAGGAGATCGCACTCAACGGATCCGTTGTGAACGCCACGAGCGATGCCGACGCCACCACTTGGAGTCTTCAGGCGGGCGCTGACTTCGCCGCCAACGCTGAGGCGGCCTTCAAAAGCTTCATTGAATTTGTGGCCAAATTCAAGAGTAAACAGCGACTCTTCGAGCAGTTATCGCAGTTAGAGTTCCCGATATTCCTCTACATCTTTATTGAACTCTTCGATTGCGGACACAAGATGTCTGGTAAGAATGGTGACCACGGAATCAGTTTTGATGATCATTTGGTAACCATTTGTTGCCCAACAGCGCGACGTTTCCTTCGCGATCACAAGAATCGCTTCAAAGAGTCGATTGAATTACAGACAATCGATTTGATGAGCAAATCGTTGAATGCGATGACATTGGATCCGAATCTCCAGAAGTACAAGACCAGCAAATATTGCGTTAAGATATCCGACAAGTGTTTGGAACAAATGAAACGACATCTTAAGGTATGTGTCTCTTGAGAATGAAGTGATAGTTGATTTTTGTGACCCTTTTTACCTCTATTTAGGAAACAAATGATCTCATTATCGTTCAAATCATTAGCAAATCAATTGATTTGAATTCATACTCGACTCACAATCAAATCCAAACCGAAACCAATGAAAAGCGGGTCGAAAAGAGCTCACAATTCATGGATTCCGAGCCATTGTCCGCACCTGACGTACAGTTAAGCCAAACACAAACCAAAGGCATTCAAGACTTCTTGGATTGCGTGGAAAAGCTCCGAAACAGCCCTCCCTGTCGGCCGCCTATCCGCACGTTTACTGTGAATAGTGAGGACTTGTGTTGTGCGGCCGTCACCGACGATATGAGTGCTCTGGCGCTCGGGTTCACTGATTCCAGGATTTGTTTGAAGCGTTTCGGTCAGAACTTCAACAGTGAGTCCCGTTTCGAGCTCAGGAAGAATACGTCCGAAATCCACATCAATCTCATCGAACACGACATCGAAGACGAGGGCGACGAAGATTGCGGTCAAACGCCTGACGCCACGAACGGCGCCAACAATTGTGATACAAACTCATCGGCAGCTGAAGACACAGACAACGACGACTCGTACCGTACGCTCAGAGGTCACAGCGGATGCATATATGGGCTGACATTCTGTCCGCGCACTGATATACTGTTGTCGTGCAGTAAAGACACAACAGTGCGGGCCTGGGATGCGACGTCCGGCCATAACGTCGCGGCATATAATAGTCACAAGTCTTCCGTTTGGGCGCTCGACTCGAGTCTCATCGGAAACCTGTTCTGTTCGGGTGGTGACGAGTGTGTGGCATATCTCTGGTCTCTGGAGCGCTCACAACCGGTGCGTATGTTTGTCACCAACTCTTCGTGCGTTCATTGCCTTCGCTTTCACCACAACTGCAAATACGTTGCGTTCGCCGAGAGAGAGATCACTCTCTGGGATGTCGACAAAGCACAGGAAGTGAGGACTTTCGTTGGACACGAGGCGCCCGTCCATAGCCTGTCGTTCTCACTGTGCGGACAGTATTTAGCCTCCGGAGGAATGGATAGAAAAGTGATTGTTTGGGACATCGGTTCCGGGAAGTCGTTGAAAGTGTTTACCGGACACTCGAATGCGGTTTACAGCGTGTGCTTCGATCACAACAATACTCTTCTCAGTTCTTGTGGTGCGGATCAGACACTGAAGCTCTGGAATCTGAAGAATACTATCAACTCGTTGTCCAATAAACCACTCGTCGCCGACTCGGAGACCAATCAAAACACGTAAATATTTAGATTAACCACTAAATCATAATTAATACTCAAATGATTTTGTTTGCCATCCATTAGAGCGCGCGTAGAATCGGATCAATTCATGTCATATCAGATGAACTCCAAACTAATTCACTCGCAATTCTTGCCGCGAAACCTGTTGCTAACGATCGGCAAAACATGTTAACTAATTCCCATTGACTTACATTACGTTATCGTTATTTCGTTTATTTATTGAATCAAATACTTTTGTAAATAAAAATAATTTACTATAACTTTGTTTACGACTAAAATATACAACAAATCGTCTCAAGAATTGCTATTCTGTAACCAATTCTATCCATTAGAAAAGCACACAAAGAGGGACCGATGAATGCACTGAATATACTTAATGGTATGTAGACATTGTGATTGCATTCTTATTACCGGTATTATTAATGTGATTCACTCGCCATTCTTACCATAAAACCTGATTTCCAAGATTTATAAAAATTGTTTAATATAAAGTTAACATAATATTTATAAGAATTGGTTAATCATAATTATTTCGTTTATTAAAACACTTTATATAAACAAAAATAAATTTCTTATTTTAATAATTAAGAGTGTAAAACACATTTAAAAACAAATGTCTCTATAATAGAATTCTTGTAATAAACCATTGATTGAATACTAGTGAACAAGTGGTCATCACTTCCTATACCGCGCTCTTTGCAGTTTCAATGCCTTCTTCATGAGTGGCGCGACCTTTGGCTCTGTGTTTGGATTTAATTATTAGACAATTGTCGTCTTAATTGGCACTCATTTGGTACTCACTCTCGGGTACTATTCTCACGTGATTTGATGAGAAGCCTTGGGAGTGAGTGCCTCCGGTATGGCCGCCGAACGACTGGCTAATACCAGATCTCTCTTGTTTGCGGAGTATCTCTCGCGGAGTCTTCACGTTCTCCGAGAACTGAGTTTGTCTTACTTGACGTCCAAAAGCAGAATCAAAGGTCAATAAAATGCTAATAAATGCTAATAAGGTGTTCAACACTACTGTGACAGACCTGGCAGTGCTTTGGCCTGTTTGTGAGTGATATGTTTGGTGATGTCCTTAAGCCGGTCCTCCCGTTCCCGACCGCACCTTAAGTACAGCTCTCGCCAACTCTCGTCGTCGTCCGAATCGGGCCGTTGTCTACTGAACTCCTTTTTGCAGAACTCTTGCCATAATTCGTCCGTTTCGTCCATTATTTGCTATAATAATCATAATTCTCATCAAAACAATGGCCAAAACAATGCAATATTAAGTCTATTCACAGGATTTAAGCGTTCAATTCGTGACAACTGTTTAGTGTTGCACTTCTGGAGCACCGTTTTGAGCAGATAGTAGGGCGCGTCACCCAAGTAATAGATTTTGTCCACATTGTCCGTCAATACACTGATGCACAGGTCCTCCAGCTTATGGACGTGAGTGTAGGTCCGGTTGCGGGCCTGACCCGCGAACACAGCCGTCCGACCCTTTTTGCTCTGAACGTTATAACTGAGCTCATCGTTGTTGGCCTTAACCGGCTTCCGTCGGGTCGCCGCCTCCACCCTCTCGTCAATAATCTCTCTATTGGGAAGTGGTTTATAGTTAGGCGTCGGCAGACTGGACAGTATGTCCGAGTGCTCCAGCGATTTGAGTCTATGCTGTGACTGCAGCTCTTTCGGGGGCCGAGACTGAGACGAACTATAGTCGCCGTCCCCTCTCTCGCGCTTAATGTGTTTGCTATGACTCTTGGATTCTGACGAATGATTGGATAATTTGTGGTGTTTTTCAGGCGATTCGCTTTTCTTGGCCACAGAACCCTTCTTGTGATCCCTTTTAACAATCTGGTCGTTGAGACCCAATAGTAAATCAAATTCGGTTTTCACGCCATTCTGTGTCTCGCTTTCGCGCGACTTATGACTCGATTTGTGGTGTTTTCGGTGTTTCCTATCACCCGATGATCTCTCCTCTCTATGTTTGTGTCTATCATTTACCGGCGATTTCTCGGACCCGTCGTCCGAATCGTTATACTCTCTCTTAATCTTATCATCACTTCGTTTACCGTTCATTACATTCATAGTTCTGTCAAAGGATTCGTCGAAATCCTGTTCATCAGGATCTTCGTCGAGCTCCGGCTCCTCCGCCTCTTCTCGCTTAACACTGACATCCGGTTCGTCGCAATCGTAGCCATCGTTGTGATTGTCGTCGTCGCTATCGTTGTCCTCCAAGATCTGTCTCTCCTGTTCCTCTTTGACGGCTGCCTTCCAGGAGACGCACAACAGTTTAGCCGTTTTGCCGATATCTGAGTCGTTTTGTTTGCTTAGTTTGCGTACAGTTTTGCCGATTTCTGTCTTCTGTTACAGACATATAAGACACACATTTCAGTGATAATGAGCTCAACAATAAGCCAAACAGTGATCGCAGTCACCATCGCCTCTCCATATGTATATCAACCACTCGTGCAATCAATACGTGTCCTCATGTGTGACCTCAAAAGCTATACAAACAGGTGGCCGTTCACCACCACTTCGCCTCTATAATAGGGGTCAACAGCCAGTGGTTAGACATATGGATGGGCGCCCCAAATGACTGCATCACTGGACCGGTAGTGTCCGTCAACTCACGTGTAATATATCTATAGTTATGGGAATTTTGTGCAATTTATGCAAAATATGCAAAGTCTGCCAAAAAGAAACACATAATTAGTTTGCATTGCCAAACATGTCTACAATGTAATGGAGACAATGAATACGTGTGTCCGAAACAGCCATACAATCAATTCAATGTTTAGTCACAAATCACCCAAACATGCAATCAGTCATACAATGAGTCCAATAATTCAACGCTCAGTCATGGCATCGAAAACTCAACATATTTTTCATAATACCTTCTCATAAGAGACTCCTTTCTCTAACTTTTTCTTTAAATGCATTACATTTTCGATGTATTTATTCATATTAATAGTATTTGTGGCCAAATGTATATCAACTATGGGAACAACAATACACAGCAAATGAATGCAATTATATGGACTATAATCGTAATATTAAGTACACAAATCTATTGGTAATTATCGTATAATTATAAAACTATCAATTATTGACTGACTCGCAAGCGTTTATACAATTTTAATACTGTCTCACAATTATTATTAAATAGTTAAATACTGTACATGTATTGCATGTATTGTACGGTATGTTAAATGCCAGTCAATAGTAGTGACACTCGTGTTGAGCGCACAATACGCTACACATTACACACGAGAGTAAAGTATAGCTCACACGAGAGGTCAGTGTATCTATTGGTGGCCCAAACATATGGTTTGTTTGTGACGGTATTTAATTGTTTGGCCTACGGTTCATATAATTATTTATATTTGCTATTTAAATACGTTTTACTCATTAATTTTTAATCAGAGTACGTTCTGTTGTTTCACAAATTCACTACATTACCTAGTTACATTATGACTACCGCTACGTTATCTATATATAGTGGCAACATCGACAAAGTCATTATTTTTAATATTCATATAAAAAATATTAGTTTTTAATTTTATAATGGTTTCTGTGTAAATAACATAATTGATAATGATGAGATGTAGTGATCCGGGTATGTTTCCATATAAAATGACAGATAGTAGGGTTGTATTATAGATGAAGTTTGTGTGCGTGAAATGAAGTGTAGGTGAATGGATAGGCGGACCGTTTGTGACACATATAATATTGTGTGCAATCGGTTGCAGTGGTATTGAGGCGAACAGTGACTGCACTGCGAGTCGTATTCACAGAGCGATTGTATTGACTCAGAAAAACAGTGCGAAAGTGCTGTCAATGGAGTCAAACGCTTTGTGAAGTGAATATTGAATCCAATATCTAATGACAACTATTTATAATTAGTCCTCATTTTTATCACTAATTATACCATTGTTTGCAACCCTTTCACTACAATGGACCTATCAATGCCACCACATATGACTCAATATGTCATGTATACAATAATATGACCAGTGTACTTTAGTGTCTATTTACTGTACACCATTGTTTATGACATGCGATCATATGTTGCAAACTAATCACATTATAATTGTTTACATTCAATGATATGTTGTCCTCTATATCATTATAAACACTCATTACTAATCAATACTTAACAAGTATACTGTATATATAATATAATATATATAACCACTGAATTAGCAAATATATTGTCAAATCGCAGTCCATTTGATCCCCCGATTGGATGAACAGGGTGAGTTGTTCATGTCCACTATATTCATTTAGT